GGTGTTTGATGTAATTCTTTGGGCGTGTCCGAACCCAATCTATTTCATCCGCATTCCTACCGCATGCTTCCACCTACTTCTTCCGTCTGGCGGGTACCCCGGATTCTCGGGCCCTTCCCCCCAGATAACCTGACCTTGATGGTTGCTCAGGTCCGAAAAGGGGTACGCAGTGCTGGGGCGCGCGGGCGTACGTGGGACTGCCCAGAGCGAAATGGCTAGGTTATCGACGGGCACCTCCCCCCACCAGATAATCCGGGTTATCGTTCCTGACCCTCGGGATCTTACGAAGCCAAGGACCACGCATCCATCTCAATCACATCATCGGCATCACCACCGACACAAGGGAGACTCGACAAACGTATCTCCTGTCTCCTCGCTTGCCGTGCATTCGCAACGAGCGAGTTCTGGGAGAGCAGAGCCTCTCCAGAGCTCCGAGGCCCCTCGAGTGCCGCAAGGGCCCGGAGGGGGAAGAGATGCCGATGCTGCTACCCTTCCCATGCTTTCGCACTCCCGAGCCCCCCTGGGAGGCCCTCGTCGCGACGACCGGATTCGCCTCGGCATCCTGGTCAGAACGCACGGCAGGAAGCGCTTGCGCAGCAGCGGTGCCGATTCCTTGTGGCGTCCCCAGGGGCCGGTCGACCCCAGCACTCGCGACCTGTTCTTGCCCTGTGGACGTTGGTCCCGCTCTCGTGCCCCCTCGCCTTCGCTCCCCCTCTCCCTCCCCCTCCTCTCCCGCGTGGCGAGCTGGTTCAGTACTCCTGGCCGCGCTCGCAGGTCCATCACCCACTCCTTCTGGTCTCGGGTCGGGCCGCTGCTGTTTGTTGATGTTGCCGCGGCATCGGTGGCTGTTCCTCCTTGTCTGTTGCCTGCGGTGGTGCTGTCGGAGGGACATATATGTAGAGAGAGAGAGAGAGCGAGAGAGAGAGAGAGAGCGAGAGAGAGAGAGAGCGAGAGAGAGGAAGAAACAATGAAAGAAAGAGAGAGAGAGAGAGAGGGAGAGAGTCAACGAGAGAGAGAGAGAGATAATGGGAAGGAAGCTGAGCTTTGAGAGAGACTGGCTGAAATGCAATCGCGACATCGTTCGTTCACCATTCTGTTGCTTCGGCCCTCCAGGAGGAGGTGGCCAAGATGGAGGAGACCCACACCTGCGGACAGGCGGGGGTTCCTCCCTCGGCCAAGCGGGGAGAGACCCCCTCCCGAGCCTCACAGCAGGGAGCCACGCCCCACCCCACACCCGAGCCCCAAGGCAGATCGTACAGTCAAAGCGCTTGGCAAGGACGCTCGCCTTCATCTCGGGTGCCCCTGGGTCCTTGCCTCTGCGGCCCGCCCTTTTGCTGTTTCCACTGGTCGCCCGCCGCCCAAATAATCCCACCTTCGGCCTCCAAGGGTCTTACGTCCGTCCCCAGTACACGTTTCGACTGTACTTTGCCACGCTTGGTTGCCAGACGTCTCTTGGTGCGCGAGTGCTGCATCGATTCCTGCACGACATCGTGGAATGCCGAGGCCACTGTAAAAGAGAAAGTGATTCTGTTTTGCACCTCTCCGCCTTTCGAGCGTTCGCAAGACCGCTGTACCGTGGGCCAGTGCCGCGGGTCAGCCAGCATCCCGGCGCATTTGCAGTTTGATTCACGGATCGCCCCGCTTTTGGGTGCAATATCGCAGATAAGTTTGTCAGTGCTGCCCGCTGCCCGTCGATTTCTCGGGTTCCACAATGTTCGAATACACGCCTGAAATCAGTTCTGATCGCCCACCAGCTGCAAACGAAATGGTGCTGGCCTGTGCGAAGAAGTGCGTGCGGAATTCTTACAGCTTATGCGTCCCGTTCGTGTTGAACCGATGTTATAACATTAAGGATGAAGGCAATCATCGCGACGTATTTGAGGACCTTCTGTCCTGCAATAGTGTTCGAAGGCCGCGCTGTGCCAGCAGCCCAGTTCAGTCGTTGCTTCGCTGAGTTGCATGATCTTTCCTTGCACGTGTGGTATGATGGGTCTTGCTGGGTGCAGCAACGGGCGAGTTACAGACGAAGGACGCAGTTCGGGACGGGTGAGGGTGGTAAGACATGCTGCTGATGTTGCATCGCATGCCCTGCATTCCCGCGTGTTTTCGCTCCGCGCCTCCTTCCCCGACTCACGTCGTTTTTAGCTTGCCCCCTGCTGTTGGTTCTCGTCTTCGTTATCCTCCTTCCTTTTTTCTTCTTCTTCTTCTTCTTCTTCTTCGTCTTCTTCTCGCTCTCATGTCCCTGCCGCGTTTTGGGAGGTGCTGCGCATGTTCCACGAGGGCGCCGTGCTTCTTGATGAGGCGGGCATCGAGCACCCTTCCGTGGCAGAGAAAGGGAGGAGGAGGAGGATGAGGAGGAGGAGGAGGAGGAGGAGAAGAAAGGAGGAGGAGGGGGAGGAGGAGGAAGAGAAGGAGGAGGAGGAGAAAGAGGAGGAGGAGGAGGGGGAGGAGAAGGGGGAGGAGGGGAAGGAGGAGGAGGAGGAGGAGGAAATGGAGGAGGAGGAGGTCACGACCTCTCCCGCCCGCCTATCTCTCTTCTGCTCCTTCATGCTTTCCCCTCGAGGTGCGCGGGCCCCTCTCCCGCCCTGTTCGGCGCCTGCCTCCCCCCTTCAGGTACACGCGGGGGTCCTCCTCCTCCTCGTCCTTGGAGTGCAGGGGGGGCCTCCTCCTCCTTCTCCTCCTCCTCCTCCTTCTCCTACGACTCTTCTGTGGGGTGCTCGGCCTTTCGAGGCCCAGCGCTTTCCTGCGGCCTCCTCCGCCCCTCCCGGGGCCCTCCGCAGCAGACAGGAGGGGACGCTGGCCCTCGAACGGTGTGGGGCCCCCAGACCTCCGGCGTCACGACGAGCGCTTCTCCCCGCGTGCTCCGATCCATCCTTCGGGCCTTCCTGGGGAGCGAGGTCTTCAGCTCGGGGCGGCGTGCCCAGCTCCATCAGAGTCGGGTGGAGCTGCTGGGCTGGGCAGTCTCCCATTTGCCCGCCGGGGCTCTCAGTGGCCCTGGCCGGCCCCTGCGCCCAGGGGGGCCACCTGGAGCTCGGAAAGCTTGAGCATAGTGCGGGGTGTGGAGGGAGGGTGCCTCTTCTTCTGAGCCAGCTTGTATACAGTCAACCCGCATCGTAAGGATGGGCAATCTCCTAAGGGTACCCTTGCATCCTTGCCTCCTCGGTCCATCCTTGGCCACTTTCGTGGGCCGCGCCCCGCTCGAAAAGCTCCGACATGGACTTCCAAGGCACTCGCCTCCTCATCGCGCCTCCTCACGACACGGGCCGACTGTGCCTCTTCTTCTGCGCCAGCTTGCCGAGGAGAAGCGCACTGCCGCGCAGCCCGCCGTGGCCCTGACCGCGGCAGGCCCCTTGGCCTGCGCGACCCTCCTGGTGTCCAGCGCGTGGGGCGCCGGCGCCGCGAGCCGCGGCGCGCCGCCTCTCGACGCGGCGCGGCCTTCGCAGTCGCGCCACGCCCGCGCTCGGCGTGCCGCCTCGCCGGGGGCGCGCCTCCCGTCTTGGCGCTGGCGGCCGCCGGGGCTGCTGCCGGATGTCTACCACCGCCCTAGCTGATGGGCCGATGTTCCACCACCACCTGCCATAGTCGAAGAAGAAGACAAACAAATACATAAACATGAACTTTTGGCGCTCCGCGCGGATTTCTTGGCTCCGCGCTGGGCCCCCCCCAGCGGCGCCTCCGGCGCCGCCCCTGGCGCGCTCCGTGCGCCAGGGAGGGGGTTCCGGCGCGGATCCAAGAAATCCGCGCGGACCTCAACAGTTTATGTTTATATATGGCTTCTTCTTCCTCTAACCACCGTTTTAGCTGATGGGCCAATGTTCCACCACCATTACCATAGGTGTGTAATTGGCTGAGGGGGCGCAAACGGCCCCTATGTTTAAAAGATCAAAAAGCCCAGAAAAAAGTTCGAGACCAAGGATTTTCGAAAGTTCAGGTTCAAAGTTGCGAGGATCCTGGAATCCGGAGAAAGTTTGGATAAAGTTAGGCGGCGAATTTGTTCCACATCCAAAACGCGTGTGAACTTTGCCTGAATTTCCGAAATGGTTTCGAACACTTTCCGACTTTGTTGTCGAACTGTTTCCGAACTTCCCGAATTTTGAAACTTAGTTCGAATGTGCTTCGATGTGTTTTCGAACGTTCCCTGAGTTCGGTTGGAACATTTGAAGTCTTTTCGGTTTCCCCCTGGACTTTCGAACTTGTTTCGAACCCGTGCATCCCTTGATTTCCGAACTCGGACTTTTAATTTCCCCCCCGCGCGAACCCAAGCCCAAAACTTTCATTTTTTCCAAGAGAAACCCATCTCTCCCCTCATCAGCCAAGTACAACCATTGGTAGGACGAGGGAGAAGGGAGGATGGGGAGGTCCTCCTCCTCCTCCTCCTCCTCCTCTTCGCCTCCTCCTTCGCCTCCTCCTCCTCCTCCTCCTCCTCCTCCTCCTCCTCCTCCTCCTCCTCCTCCTCCCCCTCCTCCTCCTCCTCTCTCTCCTGCCTATGGTAGCGGTGGTGAAACATCGGCGCACCACGAGCCGCTGTCGCGCGTTGTGGGCGCCTCGCCAGCGCCCGCCGCGCCGCGTGGGGCCGGCCGGAGGCTCCACTTTCAGGAGGGGAAAGACACACAGACACAAGTCACTGTCGAATCCCAAGACAATATGGGAAAATATGGGAAGTGGGGGGGAAGACAAAAGACCAAAAAATAAATGGGACAATATAGGGGGAATCCTATGATGTGTGTGTGTATTTCTTTGTGTGTCCCACGGCCCCTTCACACTTGGAGAGCGCTCCCAGCCCCGCGGCCGGTTTTTCCGACCTCGAGCGTCCCCCGCTGCCCTCGGCTCGCCTGCTGCCGGCTGCCCTTGCCCCGCGAGGCCGGCCCCGCGAGGCCTGGCCCCCTCCGAACTTGGCGGCCGCCCGCGTGGCTCACGTCGGGCGTGTGCCTCCTACAGGAGGCATATTCAGAAACAGTGCAAAGATAGTCGGGGGACGATTTTCGATGTCATTATTTTTGACTATTTGGATATAGGTTTGGAGTCTGTTTGTTTTCCTTGTCGAGTGGATATAGGTTTGACTATTTGGATATAGATATTGGGTTCGATGTCAAAATCCGCCCGACCTGACGGTTGGCGGCAGCGCTGCCCCGCCGCCGCTCCCCGCGGAGCGTGCCCCGCCGCCGCCCAGCGCCGCTCGTCGCTCGGCAGCGCTGCTGCCCCGCCCTCGCCGCCGCCCCGCCGCCGGGGCCCGCGCCTGCCGTCCCGCGGCCTGCCCTGCCGCAAGGTCGGGCATGTCCCTCCGCAGGAGGGAGGTTCGAGAATGCCTTAAGTCGGGGGTGGACAGACTCAAGCAGTGGCGAAGCGTCCCGGCTCGCCTATAGCCCCACCAAACAATGTTCTAAGAACCGGTTGTGGTTCCCACGACATGTGCTTGGAACATCTCTGGCTGGGACCGTCTTGTTTGAACACATCGGGCTTATGTTCTAAGAACAGTGTGTTTGTTCTTAGAGCATTTTTGGGTTCTAGAACATGTCGTGGTATGATTATAGGAATGCTGGGACGGTCGGTCCCTGCTCAACAGACCCCCCACCCTGACACGTCAATTAGTGAATTGTCCGTTTTCGGTTCTCGAGAGGGCGCCGCGGCCGTCATTTTCCAGGCTCGCGCCCGCCAGGTTTGGGCCCGAGGTTGCTTTCACTGAACCACTTTTTACTCAAGGGATTTCTGTCCATCCCCGATTAAGTCGGGCATGTCCCTCTACAGGGTGAGAATTCGAGAATGGCAAAAAAAGTAGTCCAGGGACGATGTTTCGTGTATTGTTTCTTTTTTATACTGTTGCTGCATCTATTTTGACTCTGTTCTATTTGTCTTCGAGCATCCGCCTGCGGGAGGACATGCCCGATTGGAATCCAATACCCTTCTGTTCTGAGGCAGTTGTATAGAAGGGGGTACAAAAGGACAGAGTGTTTACACAGTTTGGAGCAATTCGTGAATTCAGTATGGGTCGGGCTTGAAGTTCCTCGAGGAAAGCGCGCGCACCCGAATCGCAAGCATACGGCTATATGCGGACCGAGGACAGTTTGCTTCCCGTCGTCGTCCTCGCCCTTGCTCTGCCCCCCTCCCTGTCTCCCCCCCCCCTTCCAAAGCCCTGCCACGCCACTGCCCCATGATGGCCCGGCGCTCTCGCTCATCTTTCCCTTGCCGGCGCGCGCGCGTGCCGACGGTGACCTTCGGACGGTTTGCGGCGCTGTTCGGCCCGCGACCCTCCAAATGTGTTTGTGTGTGTGTGTTTTGTGTGTGTGTGTGTTGTGAGAGTGTGAGGGAGTGTGTCTGTGCGTGTGTGTGTGTGTGTTGTGTGCGTATGTGTGTGTGAGTGTGTTTGCGTGTGTTTATGTGTGTATGTGTGTGAGTGTGTTTGTGTGTGTCTGTGCTTGTGTGTGTTTGTGTATGTGTGTGTTTGCGTGCGCGTGCTTGCCTTTTTGTTTGTTGTGTGTGCCTGTGTGCTTGCGTGTTTGAGTTTGTGTGTGTCTTGGGGAGGAGGAGCGAGGGCGCGTTGGCGAAAGTGCGGTCGGGTTGCAGGACAAGTTGTTATGGGGGGGGCGTGTCCTGCTCCCAGCGAGAAGTGGATGCAGCAAGCTCGGGCACACCTTGAGTACTGGGCCACATGCCCGCTGGTGTCCATCATGTTTGGCATACCAGGGTCGGACTTTCAGAGGAGCCCCTGGCTTCCTGTAAGACATGGGGCTTGGAGGCAAGAGTTGGGACTCACAGGAGCTTGACGCCGTGGCGTTTGCCACCTGCTTCGAAGTTCCATTCCTCCGCGCGCAGTCCGTTCGCGACCCGGTGTGCCTCCGGGGCCACGGCTCGCCGCGCGTGGCCGCCCGTGGAGCAGGCCTGCTCGTGCGGTGCCGTCGCCCGTGGCCTTCCACGCCCATGTCCCCCTTGGCAGCCATCCCTCGGGTTGGCGCCGCTGCCGTCCCGGTGCCGGTGTCTTCTCTGGCATGGGGGGCACAGGACTCGGGGGCGGAAAAGAGGGGGGTGATGACTAGGGGGGGGGGGATATCATGGCGGGGGCCATGATATTTCCCCCTCTTGGACACTCCCCTCTGAGCCGCTCCCGAAGGAAGGAGGGCAGTGACGGGCGCTGTGTCGGCATGCGCTACGCTCTATGTGCCCTCCTGGAGCCTCTCCGCTGCATCCGGCGGGCGCCTGGAGAGGGGTGTGGGGCGGGGGTGATCGGGCGCGCCAGCTGCCCGATCCTCCCACATTGTCCGACAAGAGTACACAACATGTGGATTGCTCCAAGAAGAAAGCCATATAGGACATCGCGACCATGCCTCTTTATTCCATCTCTGCGGGGCACTTCTCGTGCCAGGTCGATCTGTCAGAGCCCCCAGGCCCGCATCGGGACGAAAATACTCGTCGATGTTTTCATGGCGCGCAGATGTCAGAGTCGCCGCGTCGCCCCTCATCCCCCCCCACCTCGAACTTCGCTGGCGCAAGCCCTCGATGATCTTTATCCACGGCCGCCCTGCGAGGTCGACCTGCTCTTGGACCCGCTGCGCAGCGAGCTGAACTGGCCAATGGGCCGCAAGAGACCCCTCGACCTCACAGATGGCGGCGACGGCCCCAAGGCGCTGAGGATGAGGATGCGGATGAGCTGGGCGAGGAGGACAAGCAGAGAGGAGGCGTGAGCTAAGGGAGGACCATACCAGGACGAGAAGCGATGGGCGGGGGGGAGGAGGAAGAGGAGACTCCCTGCTCGGTGTTTTCCTACCCCCGCTCCTCCTCCTACTCCTCCTGCTGCTCCTCCTCCTCCTCCTCCTCCTCCTCCTCCCCCTCTTCATCCACTTAGCCGGACGGCGTATGGCATGTGAGTGAGTGAGAGTAGAGCCCGCACGCACCACAGATGCTGTAACACGCCCTCGCTGTCCGAGTCCCTCATGTCCCCCCTTCTGACCGTCGGCGTCACCCCAAGCCCCCAGTCACTCGAGACGATCACGTCGGCGCTAGCCAGCTGGTCGTGCACTTCGAGAACGTGCGCAATGCGCTCGGCACCGTTTTTTTCCCGCACTCCGGTGGAGAGGCTGTTCAGCCCTTATTTGGAGCGCGATCACCGTGACGTTACATTCTCTACAGCGTGTTCGTGCCATCCATGATCTCGCTTCTGTTTTTCGTTGCTGTCTCTCCTTCCCCCCTCCTTTCTGTAGCAGCTCCGGTTCAAAACGGTCTGGCAGTTTGGGATAGCGTGTCGCTCCGCCGGATCTGGCCCACCACGCCTCGGTGCGACACGCTGTCCACTGCCCAGTCTCCGAGTGTCGACGTCCCGAGTCTTCCCGAGCCTCCCGCCCCGCGGAGTTGAGCGACATGCGATCCACTCGCAAGGCATAGCGTGTCGCCGTGGCCGCCGTGGCGACACGCTAAGCAAAGGCTCCGGACCCAATGCCTCCAGGGCGAGATGCCGAACGGTTCTTTTGGCAGACGCCCCGCACCCACTGTGTCGACAGGTGAGAGGGAATGTTAGCTCTTCTTCTCGGATCGTGTTCTACCCAGAAGGCTGGCGTTTCTGCCTTCCTTCACAGTTGGTGAGTATCCTGTTGTGCTCTTCATCGGCTGGACGTCTTCATCGCGCCGATCTGTTGTGAGGCCAGGGCCCTCCAGCAGGAATTTATCAGTAAAAGCGCAGGGCCTAGTCGGATTCTTTTTCGTGTCTGGGGGCAGTACCGAGGTGCCTTGTGGTGAGGCGGATCTCCGCTCGAGCTTGTCCGAGATAGTCGAACGTGAGCTCTTACGTTTGAGCCCGTTGCCGCCCGCCACTTTTTCGTCAGAGGAAACGCCGTGCAACAAGGCCAACCAGTTTTTAAGAATCAGCTATTTCGAGGGCACGTTCAGAAATTACAATCGTCTATCTCCCCATCACTTCTGTCAACGTCTACAAACTGTTTGGCACGATTGTGTGGAAGCTACCTCAGTAGATGCATGGTGCTCCTGCCAGGTTTAGAGCGCATGCCCTGCGAATGAATAGTGTTGCGATTGTAGTCTGCAACCGAGCCGATGTCTCTCAGTTCGCTATCCGGGGTCCTCTGCCGTCGGGGCCACGCGTTGCTCCTCATTTGCTGATGGGCAGGAGTATTCAAGAAGCCTGTTTCGGCTGAGAGGTTCGCCCGTTGACACCCCGACTGGGACGAGAGTTGTTTCGTTTGCGCCATGCCCGCTCACAAAAAGCGCAGTTCGAGGATACGATCAAGGACATCACTTCTAGAACTGAATTACTTCGACCTGCAGTGTAGCCAGTTTGCCTCGATGTCTGGTCAGCTTCCCTTCCAAAATCAGATTGAGTATTTTTGGTGGGTCACGTGGAATGCGGGGACGTGTCTGAAACATTTCGCGGCTAAGGGGCATGCAGAATTGGACTATGTTTTTGCAAATTCTTTCGCGAGTTCGGTCGTAGCGGCACACGTTGTATTTCAAGATTGAGCTCAGTCACAGCAGCCGTGGGGCCGTGTCGACCCGTTTCCATGGTGGTCCTTGGTTTTCTTGCGTTCTGGTGTGCATTTGGTGTTGCGGTACCAATTGTTCTCTTGCTTGCCTTCTACAGTTGGGGTCATGGTTGTTGTTTCACTCCTGGTCTTGCATACCGAGCGAGTTTGCATCCCCCTGAGGGTGCACAATGATGGACTCTCGGCCCGGCAAGCTCCCCACGCGCGCGGAGCGCAACATGAGGATCGGCGTCGGGGCACCGCGGGGGCGCGAGCGGTGTTCAGGAATCCGCGAGTGCGCTCGTCGCCCCATCCCCCCTCGACTCCTGTGCGCGACCCCCTCGCCTCTCTCTGCCCCCCTATCCCCTCTACCTCCGCCGGACCATCCGCACCCCTCGACCCCTTCCGCCATCCATGCTCCCTCCATGTCTTCCACCGTCAGGCACACCTGCGGCAGGGTCTGCGCAACCGGCTGCCCTTCCACCTCTTCGACGGCGTGTTCGCCGCGTCCGGGCAGCCGATGGCCGTGCCGTGCGGCG